GGAATATCTCACCGATTCTATATACGTCATCACAAGAGAAGCTCTCTTCTCAGGTTTGTATATTGAAAAAAGAGCTTTGTTGTTTTGTTTGTGTTTGTTGTAAATCCAAAATGATACTACGCCTCCACTATGAACATGTATCGTTGGAATAAAAGCTATTTCATTAACTCTAAGGTAGGTTTTTGGTAAAATAATGAATTGCATTGACAAATTACCCCTCGTCTTTAATAAACTAGCATTGTAAGAATGTCAAAAAAATCTAAAATATGTTGGGTAATTTCTTATTTTGTTTTTGATTGTCTCTAAAAAACAATAATTCCCATGTGCCAAAAATGAGACAATGTAAACCAACTGCCCAATTTGTATTTGTATGTTTTGTAGAAGAAATAAATTCAAGTTAATTCAATTATGGCGGTTTGAAAAAAAACTACGCGATGATCCTGTTTGATGTTGTTATGGGTGTTTTATTAAGGGTTTTGGAATTGTACCATTATTACCCGCACTGCAGTTCTTACAAAATTCCCACATGACATTATATTTATATGGGACAACATAGATTCATGGATTCATCATTATTTTGGCAACCCCTTCTTAGTATGATTCCACGACTTTCAAACCCATGTAAGATTCTCTTTATGAAACGCATTAAGTTCACTGTTTATATTTTCACAAAATATTATTTTGTGTGGTTTCATGAAATGTTATTGCAAAACAATTCATTCATTTGTGTTATACTGGCATAATGCATGCAATTTATAGAACTACACAAGCTTTTCTATTTTGCTCTTTCTCTACTTCTGCATGTAGGCTAAATATCATGTTAATAGTATCCAAAAGGTTCATCATGCACAATGTATCAAATACGTTCTCTCTTACCATCTTACCAGTTTTAAACGAAGAAATTGTACGAGACCTTGCCGGGAAGGTCGGACGTATCGTGCTGTTACTAACGTGAGTATTAATCTTCTCGCTCTCCATATTCACATGGGCAATACATATTTGACTGATATACATGTAGACTACCATTTTTGTAATCGCATGGTAATGCTGGTACGCTTTAATATGGCTAGATGATTTCTTTGGAATATTTATATGGGTAAAAGAATTTTTTTGTTGGAGATTGAGCCCATTCGCTTGTATAGTAATGCGGATACGTTTGGGCGGGGGGGGGGGAGCAATGTCATGGTTTGCCCCTAGCGGAATAATACTTAGATATTCACCACTGTTTATCACTTTTGTGTATGCAAACATGATCTTATAATGTTTCTCCTTACTTCTGTTACCCGAATTTGACAGCAAGGTGCCCGAATATGTTCGATATCTTTACATCTTTAATATCGACAGTGGCGTAGACAGGTTCGTACACCTGGGGATGACTGGGCTGCCAACGCTAGTGAGGGCGCTAAGCGCCCGAGCGAGGGAGCGAAGCGACCGAGCGGGGGGGGTGTCCCCCCTCCCACGGTAGGGAGCTTTTGCAATTTTGAACTTGAAATCGTGCAATCTGATGCATACTTAATGAGGTAAAATAACACACACAAGCGTGTACGCACACACACACATACTCACACACACACACATACTCAAACGCACACACACACACACACACACATACTACGCCTTGAATGGACAGACATACATCGACAAGATCTACACACCGTGGCATACGAATACAGAATGGACTGACACATAGTATTGCATATTGAACCACACTACGTATTTATTTATCTCTGTGAATTTTGCTGTTACACCTCTTCAGAAAAAAAACCAATGTCAACTGTGTACACGCAGGTATGGTCTTTGTTGTCTTGATAGGGGTATGTGGTTATGAATGAAAACAGCCTCTGTGGCCATTTGTGAATAGAACACATAAACAACAAACAAATAACGATTAAACTTTGAACAATATGTCTGTTCATTTATAAAGCATAATGAATACGTACATACTATGCTTTTTTTACCTCAAAGAAACAGGCATAGTATCCATAGATGGATATTGGCTGGCGGCTCATTAACATACAGATACAAAAAACATAAACAGTATCACTATGATCCATGGAGTAATAATACTGATTTGTAAGTTTGTGAAGAAATCGGAACCATAACGGCATTGCATCGTTTCAAATTAGGGCATTATTTACTTCTATTTGATCTCAGTCTTATAATAGTAATAGTAATAATAATAATAATGATAATAATAATAATATAATAATAATAATAATAATAATAATAATAATAATAATAATAATAATAATAATAATAATACAAATAAAAAATAATACTAATACAAATAATAATGCTAATACTAATAGGTTCCTTTTATCTCGCATTTCAAGACAGGGTAAATTCACACTGCGTTTACATGAAACAAACTTCTTTAAACATTTCAAACTTATGTCTTCATGCATCAATCAACATACTTTAAATGAATACAAAACAAAGTGCATCTTAAATAAAACAAAAATAAATAAATAGTTAACAATACAGAAAAGATGTAGCTGCTGCAAGCTTAACAACAAACTAATGTATACCAGTCAGTCTTGATATCAGTATTAGTGTAACAATAGTCATATAGTGGGAGCATGAAGTTGAACAATTCATGATGTTTGTCTGTCACGAATTATTATGTATACTGTTGTATCACATTCATTTTCTATTCTGTTTTAGAATTGGCTTTCACCGTGTGAATGCGGCTAACAATAAACACAATTACAATAATGATGAGGATTATTATTATCATCATCATAATTATTATTATTATTAATATTATAATTGTTATCATTATTATTATTACTATTATTATCATCATTATGACTTATTAAGTAAGCAAATATCATTCCCCAAAACCTGGGGGGGGGGGATGCATCCCCCTCATCCCCCCCCCCCCCCCCCCCCCCCCCCCCCCCCCCCCCCCCCCGTTGTCTACGCCCCTGAATATCGACATTATGAAGGATTCACGGTCATAAATTACGGCGCTTGAGGGCGCGTGACATCGTTCTGATACCGCAGACCGAAATAAACACATTTTCGGGGCAATGTGGCAAGGAAAATCGGTAACAATTTCTTTTCTTTGACGTGGCCTTCGGTAGATACGGTTGAGAATCAAATTGTGTGCATAATAACGATTGTGCATTTGAACATTTTCTCATCTTTATCAGCCCGTCTCTTTTCGACTATTACCAACGATGGATCGAGGCAATAAAGAAGTTGACAGGTGAGTTTGCCCATCATCCTTTACGCTAGGTGGGACGATAAACTGAAGACGTATGAAGGTGTTTCTTAAACAATTGTGAATTAATAAACAATTGCACTGTTGATACACACAATACAAACCACCGTATTGATTAAAAGAATGGACAAATGAAGAGATAAATGAATAACATTACGAGCCAGATTACCTTCGCGCATAAAACTTTTGAATATGCAGGTTGGTAAGTTTTGTTTACATATTTGAGGATTGATGTTAATTGCAAAGAAATTAAATTGGTAGGTACGAGTATCTAACAATGATGACACCTGCTATAGAATGGTTTTTAAACAGTTATGACTAAGATGACAAAAAAATCGAGGAAACAACCATAATTCATGCAATATGACCCTAAAATCAAGTACTTATCTTAGTTTTCTATATTATCCATTATGCATTCAATTTCGATCATGATGATATCGTGAACTCTAACACGCCCTTCGTCAGTTCAATTTGTAAATTAAATACCTTTTCCTTCCTTGTGCATGCATGCTGATACTTTCCTCTTTTTGTGTAGGTCTGTATTATTATATAATAGGTCCATGTGATTACAAATTTTCATTTTCATAGTTGTAAATGTATAATTATCTCCTGACTACGGCTATGTTTACTCCCTTTTCAGGTTCTTCTGCAGTCTTTTTTCTTTATTACTTTTCTCCCCCCCCCCCCCCCCCCCCCCTCTTGCTCTCCATATATCCTTCTCACACTTGCCAGTTCTATCTACAACCCTAGAAAATGGTGGTATACTTTATGCACATACAGCACGTTTAATGGCAATATTTGAAAGCACAGATGTGAATGAAAAATGAACAGATTCGATCCTTACTCTGGTGTAAAAAATATACCCCCCCCCCCCTCTAAAAAAAAGAGGGATTAGGTGACTAATGTGTGGTACATAGAGGTCATGAGACGATTAAATGACTACTTTCGATTAAACTGTTTTTTTTTTGTGTGTGGATAGGTCACGTCCCTATATGTGCCATGGTACCTACATGGCAAAGGAAAGACATCGAGGAGGCAAAAGATAAACTAAAAAAGCTCGGGATCACTGACATCTATGACCTACCTCCCATTGGTGGCAATCTCTCAGATGAGAAACGGTTGCTGAGGCTTGATCTCCTCCATGGATGCCTGAAGAAAGGTGACGAAGGGATATCTGCTGACTTAATACAGCTGTATTCTTTACCCAGTTTTGAGCGGTTACGGAACCAATGGAGAAAGGATGTCACAGAAACACAGAAGAGGCACGGAGAAGACATAAGAGAAGAAGAAGTAGCAAAGAAGTTACTCCGAGGTAGAATTACAGACTTAGAGCAGGAACTCAACGATTCCCGTGCAAGTCGCGCAAGCATAGTCAGTGAAAAGGGAAGACTACAAGATACCATGAAGGTTGAACAAGAAAGGCGTGAACATAGTGAAAGGGCAATGATGGAAAACGAGAAAAGAGCAAAACAGATAATGGAGACGTACAAGCAGAGGGAGATGGAATTTGAAAAGAAACTACAATCAAAGGATCTGCGTATCGAAACAATGGCTAAAAATTTACAGGGGACAGAAGAGAAGGCAAGACGTCAGGTTGAGCGACTAGAGACCGACAACGAAGAAATTATGACGAAATTAGTGTCTAAGCTACAACGGGAAGACACTTTGACAAAAATGCTAGAGGAGAAAGAGCGGAACGAGTCGACTCTCAGACAGCAAGTTGAAGAATTAAAGAAAGGAAGAGAGGAAGACAGAAAAGAAAAACAGTCAATAGAATTAAGCTGGAAGAAGAAGCATGACTATAAGGAAGGGCTTTTGGAGCAACTTAAGCGTGAGACCTGGAAGCTGAGAACCAAAATTCAACTAGAAAGTGAGATACGATCAGCAGAGCAGAAGAAGAAAGCAGAGACACATCAATGGAGTTTCATTCCCTGGGTGGCTTCTGGAAAACAAGCTCAGAGTGGTAAGACTTTATTTGCCAATCTCAATTTCCTTTAAAAGTTTAAAAAACAAACATTATACTATATACGTCCAAGCCAATTTGTTGCTACTTTTTGAAATAAGTATAATGTGAAGCTTATCAAATCCTATATGGTCTTTATAGCTCCCTACCCCATTTTAGCTATACTTTGAAATTACTTAGAATACCGATACAGTGAACGATAGAGAACATTCCAAATTTGTATCTTAAATTCTTTTTCTTCCTTCTCATTCAAACTGACTTCATTCCTTCATGACAGGCACATCACCATTTGAGGATAATTCAACCGGAGGACTGGGAAGTGATACACTACAAGCAGGGTGAGATGAAATATCTTTACTCTTTACATGGCAAATTGACAATAAACGCATTATTTCTCTAATAGTGACAACACTACTACGGAATGTACTTTGGTGTGTAAAATGAGTGGTGCTAGACTGTCAATAGCAGTGCTAAAAGTACGGCAGCACTTATGTTCTATGAATCCAAAATCAGGTTTAGAAATTTCGTGACCACCTGTGATTATCTAAAAGCAGAAGTGAATAAAAGATTGAAAATCATTAAAAAAACATGAAAATCTTAGCTACATACCAGTCGACAGTGATTTGAGTTGAAAGTGAAATGTTTTAATGAATTTAAATAAAATTTAATAATTCGAGCATGTCGAGCATGGTCTCTAAATGAGATCGCTGTCTATTTATGTCAGTCAACTGCTATAGGTTGACTTTAACAATGAAAACGTTCTGTAATGAAACAAATAGAAGATGATACTCTTGATTAGAGTTATAATATAACATAATCCTCTATAGTCTCATTACGGGAAGAACTTATTTTGACTTTCTTTTCTTCACCTATTAAGTAAAGATTATTTTGTATTAATTTTAAAGTTGATCCGTCATACCTACGTTCTTTGACCGCCCCATGTTTGTCTTTGTTACCATTCCCGGGACCATTCTAGAGAGGAGCCTCCAGATGATGAGTTTGCAGGCATATTACAGCAGATAGCTGACGACCTTTACGATGAAGCCAAGATTGACAGCCTTGCTGGTCAGCTGGGAATCCTACATGGTGATATACAGAGAGCGCTCATGACCAATGTGAAGTTCAACCGTGTTACCAGTGATGGAACTCGTCATATGCTGAAACAATGGAGAGAAGGTGTGTCCAGGGAAGATGAACGGATTGAGCTAACGAAGGCACTGCAAGCTGCCAAGTTGGTCAACCTTGCAGACCTTTATCTCAGCGGAGGTAACGTATATTTTCTTTAAGAACAATTGTAGTTTCGTAAAGAGGACCCCATTCAACACTTCAGCAACATGCTGTTTTATTCGGTATACAATACGGCCCATGTGTTTAGAGTCAGATTGACGGTATTTTCTGAAGCAAATTCGTTTCCACATTTTGACACTGTTGATATAAATACTAAGGTGACGTAATGCAGAGAGAAGGTACTTAAAAAGAGCTTAGGTACTACTTTCAGTTATTATTTTCCTCGCGAATAAAAATCCAAACAGGGACCCCTTTCACAAAGACTTTTTCCAATGACAAATGACAAAAATCAGTGACAAATCTGCTGTTAACCAATCAGAAGCAAGGATTTCAGTAGATTATAACAAAAACTGTCATGTGTCACTGATGACAAGTTTTGTGAAACAGGGCCCTGATGCTTACTACCAACTTCAAGTTCTCATCTACTACCTGGTGAACATAAAAATAGCTTGAAAGAAATTTGAAATTCACTGTGATAAGTACTACACAATCTTAATAATTCAATTCGATGTGTTTTGAGAAATAAACCAATTATCATTTTTCTTTCTTATTGCCGGTTAGGTGTAGTAGAAGAACAGATCGATGCTGAATATGATAAAGAAGACAATGATGAGCAGCTCTCTGCTAGAGATGAGGCCTCTCTAGAAGAGGACCGGACCAAAGGACAGACCGACACCCAGGTACTTCAGGAAGCTACAGCAAGCAATGACCACACTCCTCGAGATGGGCAAACGGGAGACATCGCTTCCAAAACCCAGGATGACTTGACACATAGAAGTAGGATTCAACATCCTGACAACTCATCGGAGAGGACTACAAAGAACTTGGATGCATCTGAAGTGACTTCCGAAGACGTGTCCTCGGAAGAAGCAGATCATACTGGTGATGCTATGATCAATGTAAGTAGCATTCAACCTGCTGACCAATCGTCCATACATGAAATGCAAGTCCTACCTGAAGATATGTCTGAGATAGCCCCTCTGGTATCTTCTGGTGGAAAACCCGACGAGGAATCCACCATCTTGGAAGAAGAAGAACTGATTTCTCAACTCGTTCTCATTGATCCATTTCCGGAGAAAATAATGCTCCTTTTCCTCCTAAAGATCATAATGGATGTTCCCCAGAGAGTACTCAGTTTATAAATCACCAGAGAATCTTGATCAAGCCAAGTGTACTAACACAAATCTAAGCTTGCGACGTTCCAGGTTCACTCCTGGATGCTTCATCTAATGCCATATGATTATTTACCCGTGAACATGGTGTTCCGGTCAGGGAACGTCAGGAAAGAACTGCCCTTCTCTGATAAACCTTTCAAAGACCCGTCGGTGTAGTCGGTCTGATGAAGCGTCCTGCAGTGGAAGTTAGGCGTTGTAAGCGGGAAAAATCCAGTTGATTGTTTATAACATTTAATGTTACATGTATTTCTAAGCATACTTTGTTCATATTATATTGTAAAACAGCATCTGAGGAACGAACACTTCAACAAGCTCTACTTCAAGTTACTTCCTCTTTTCTCGTGCTTTTTTCATTATATTTGTCGTTTCGTTGCATAGTTTTTGTGATATAATTATTCTTGTATTATATTTTGCATGAGAAATAAAATCATTTGAATAATTGAATTATTAATCAATTACCTGAATGGTTGAGAACAGTACTAGACATAATAGTCATCATCATTAACCGAACCATATTGTGTTTATTGCAATGTTAAAACTTGTATCCAAACACCGCATACATATTTTCAACTCATATGTTTGTTTTTAAATATGACAAAAATTGCATGCAGAACGTGACTTTTTTTATTTCTCTTTTGGCAAGTAACATGATATAGAACTTCAATTAATGTTAGTAATTATAACAATAATCACGTATTTCAGCCGGAGCAATTTTGATTTATTTTTAAACTTTAATCTCTCCAAAAAATATTAGTTACGGTCAATCATTTAATTATCAAATTTCACAATTCATTTTATTGCTTTAAATAAATTATTCGAAGCTGGAGAATCGACCTATTTCAATTAAACAAGTTGCAACGCTCGTTTTTATTTTTGTACCTACCGCCAGTTTGAGTAGTTAGAAGTATATGAATATATAAAACAATAACGAAAAACATGAATGAGTAATGAATATTAAAGTAATGAACAAACAGATGTACAAAATATAAACTTTGAATGTATAATTCCCAACAAACTGTACATAAGTGTCATGAATTGAATTGCCATTGCTTACTTAAAATGCTTTAATTCATTCAAAAAACATTCGCGGCTGCAGAGCTGAATTTCAGTCTAAAAACAAAAACAAAGTATACATCAGTGAAAAAGTAAAATTTCACGTATTTAATACATTTGCGTAATAACATTATGGTAGTAAAATTTCAATTCGTTTTGTACATAGAACGTATCATTGTGATTCTATGACACCTGCTCCGGCTACAATTACTCCGTGTGGCAATTCAGTACATGGATCAAACTCCAGACCCAGCCCCCAAACCGGCCCCAACCCCACATCCCTGATGAAATAAAGCCTGGAGTAACCGCCGCCGAAGCATGTGTCGTGTCGCCATCCTTGTACATTATGGCAGATTACTTGGTACATATACAGAAATCTGAATATTATAACCATATTGCATTGAAATTATATGTTGAGCTTATACAATATATGAATATAAATATATTTGTTTGGAATTCGAATGAATTACATGTTGCGATTGGAAATTGCATAGCCAGATGGGTATTTTTTTAAAAATAATAACAACATTTAAAATACTCACATATCCCCCCCCCCCCTCCCCAAGAGATGCTCAAGGCGCCTAACAAGGTAAAAACATTAAACTTAAGAATAATAATAATAATAATAATAATAATAATAATAATACTCAGCTTTTGTATAGCGCGAATTACAATTGAGTCTCCAAGCGCTTCCAAACTTGGAGATTATTACCCCTGTTTTAGCTGTGCTGCCATTAGCGCTTTAGCATTTCAAGGTACCCATTTACATCACCTGGGTTGAGTGTGGCAAATGTAGATCAATGTCTTGCATGAGGACATTAGTGCCGCCGCGGGACTCGAACCCCAACTTGTGATCAAACAGTCCGGCGACGTAACCACTCGACCACGACCCCAAATCTGGGAATTATATAATCAAATAGATGCTCCAATGAATTAAACAAATTATACTTTGTAGGTAAAATGCAGATTTTGTTTTGTCTTTGGACCAATTTAGTAAAAGGTAGGGTAGTGCATAAAAATGATTTTCGCATAAAAACATGGTTAAATGGTTGCCATGGTAATGATCGGTATATCAATAAAGAAGCAAATAAGATTTTGCACAATTAAATCTGATTCAGTTGCTCCAATGATTGTTATTATTCACATATTACATTTCAAATTATACATTTAAGGCTTTGGCAATTTCCAAGATTGTGGAAGCATCAGTATGAAATAAAAGAGAGAGAGGGAGAGAGAGAGAGAGAGAGAGAGGAGGGGGTGGGGTGAGGGGAAGGGAGAGAGGGTGTCAACGAGTTT